AAGACCGTGTAAATGCCGAATTTCGCTTATGGATGTCACAGACTTGTTTTTGTAACAGACTGGTCATGAAATGGGCGAGGACATGAGCATTCGAAATGCCCCTCGCCCTTGCCCCAAAAACTGTGTGTGCTATCCGACCATTCAGCTTACTCAACCGTTTAAACACGTTTTTCGATGAGCTGCATTTCTTGAGTTACAGATTTCACCGGAAGGCTGCACGAGTAAACATGCGCAACAGGGTGCGATAGCAGCGGATGCTTTGCTCGGCGAAATCGGCAAATGTTGCCGAGATTTATTCACACAGTCGCATAAATCTGACAAAAAGCTCCCGCCAGCTGCTGTTGGGAAGGCATTCAGGTAAGAAAGAAAGAGATAAAATGCATTTGTACGTTCCTTAACCATTCATTTTCATGCATTTTGTGCTGTGTAACAGTAGTACAAAACGCATATTGTCGCGGAGTTGTCTGTCTCTGTGTATGTTTGTGTGTGTGCCTCACATTTTGTCCCGCATTTTCAACTCGGAAACCACAAAAACTAGGCAACTGAAATTTTAATGTAGTGTTCCCCGCCAGCGGGTGACGCGGCAAATTTAAATTCATCCTTCCCGTACTCGGGGTAGCACGTACGGCCCTGTGAAAGTCTTTTACGGGTAAATTAATACCTCAGGAACCACAGAATCTAGGAAGCTGAAATTTAATGGGTATGTCGCGGACCACGCATGACGTAGAAATTTCAGATTCAACCTTTCTGTACCTGCGGATAACACGTATGGCCTCGTAAAAGTTTTTCGGATAAAATCAGTATCTCGGGAATCACGGGAGCTGGAAAATTGAAATTTTATGAGTATGTCCTCTACCCAAGTGCGATCCAGAGAAATTGAATTGAACCTTCCCGTGCCATCGGGTAACATGCATGGACTCGTAAATTTTCAGCGGGTAAAATCATTATCTCAGGAACCGCGGACACTTCGGAGCTGAGATTTTATGGGTATGCCCCTTGACCACGTGTAACCCAGAAAATTTAAATTCAATATTCCCGTGCGCATGGGTATCGCGTACGGCTCCGTGAAATTTTTGGCGGAAAATTATCTCGGGAACCATAAATTTCAGGACGATATTTTCTTCTGCTGCAGTACCTCGCAAACTGAAATATAGCTCCCAAGTATGTAGAGGTCTAAATTAAGACCACGTGATAATTGTGATGTGAAAGTCGCTAGCTCGGAAGCCGAAAAACTGCAAAGCTGAAATTTGGAGGGATGTTCCTCATCCATGTTTTCAAATTCAGCTTTCACGTACCAGCACGTGAAATTTTCAGTGAAAAATTCCTCACCTTAGGAGCTAGACAGCATAACTGTTGTTTTTCTATATACAAAAGTGTAAAACAGTTGTATTTTTAATAAGCAAACGTCCGCTGGATGGAACTGCGCAAAACGCATGATCGCACCGGCTATCCTAGTGCGCTTCGCTATTTGTTATATGTTGGAGTAAGTCATTGTTTTCGATTGCTGGTATTCCTGCTCGATGGAGTACCACCAATCGATAGGACTGCTGCTCCTGTAGTTTTTCCTTCCCTACTGCTCCTGTAGTTTTTCCTTTTCTAAACTAAATTTGTTTTAAATTTTTTTCTTGATCAAGCTGACTTTTAAATTACTCCGCGTCAAATGTTCGCATCCCCTCCTTTCACTTCTTTGAAATTTCCCAGTTTTTACTTCAGTCGGATAATTTTTGATTATGTGAAGAGAGTTACTAAAAGTGTAGAGCTGATGAGTCACAGCTTCGGCCTCCGAATTTAGGTTTGGTCCACTTACTCTACATGGTCACATGCCTAACTATGGATAGTACATTAGCACTGCCAGCTTCTTTTCCGCGTGTTTTAGTTCCGACTTGTGCACGTTCTCATTGTCGCACACCTCCCCCCTCCTTTCCCCGCACACACACATACACACACACGCACACACAAACACAAACATACGTATATAATAGACGTACGGACATGTTTCATTGGGTGTTAGTGTTATCGGCTGCTTTCTATGTTTTTTATTTGGACGCACCTGTGAAATGCTACATTAGCAGTGCCAACATCTTCGCATGCATTACTTCTGGGAATTTTTTGTGCTGTTTTATTTCTTTCACTGTTATTGCTGTCTTTTCTGTGTACTTCGGCCTTTTC